AATTTGATTTATCTTTTTTCTTTATGTTTCATTTATTATTATATCTATTACACGGTTTTCTTTTTGTCATTGATTCTACATGTGTTGCTTTTCTTTCTTTTTTTTGTTTCTTTTCGTGTTCGATGTGAATGTACAGCATTATGTCTCGATTGTTTTCTTTTGTTTTTCATGCACACCTACACATATTCAGGATGTTTGATAACGAAATGATAAAAAAAAACTACAATAAGTTTTTAGTAGTAAGATAAGAATGAAAAATCAATGCAGTGTATATATATATATATCATTAAGTAAGACAGATATTTTTAATGTGGAAGTGATAAATGAATATTGCAAGATATCCAGACTTTTATGAGTAGAAAGGATATGCTATAATCAATATGATGATATCTATGAAAGCAGCAACAATGTTGAAACATTCATCTGTAATAGTCATGAACTATGCTTTTTAGTCATATGATATACTATTGATTTCTCTTCTCTTCGCAATAGATGTAAAGCATATTTATCAGAAATAAAGAGAAAAAGAAACTTTTCTAACATTCAAACGATTTTGACAATATATATAATCTATTATCGCATCGTATTATTAAATTATCGTCGATAAAAGATTCATTATATAATACTGACCTTTCCGTCACCAATAGAATTTTACATTACATACAATCTAAAACTGGAATAGAGAATCAATACCGATCAACATAGTACACAATTGAGAAAATAATTTTAATACTTTATTATTCTAATAAATATTTATTTGATATAATAAAGAATGATACATGGAAATGATAATAATAAATAAATGACTATAACTGATATTTCAAATTCTTTATTATTGCTCGTTATATTTAGGAATGTTTTAATGAGACGGAGTGTTCGCCGTATAATATCATATGCTCATTAGTTACACTAGAATAAATATCGTAGGAATGATTAATTTAAAGACTTACATGTCGAAATAAATATATAGATTTATCGTTAATAATTCAGTACAACAGAGTTATTAAAATGAAATAAGTAAGAAGCAATTTAGATAAATCGTAATGGATAAAAACTGAATTATTTTTTCTCTACTCATTGTTTGTTATATGGAGTTTCATAATCTCTATAGTTCCGCTAGATATCTATATACTAATTTGTTTCCTGCTAATTTTTTTCTCATACAAATTCATTATCAAATGTTAATCAAGTACATAATACATCTATGTCTCACATTTTGTCAATTGAACTGATTTTAAAATACAAAATTGTTACCTTTCAAGAGATTTATAATAATTTCCGCTTTAAAATTGTCAAGAACACTTTACAACAATTAAAATAATCGACAAAAAGAAAAATACATTTAATGAGATACTAGTTCGAAATTGATCAAGGGATTATAAATGAAGTGACTGAAAAAAATGATAAATTTCTATATTCTTGTTCATTCTTTTCATTGATAATGAATGATACCATTTGTTCTCTACTCAATTGACATTTTTCACATGGTACATATTTCCTGAAATATACTACAATGTATCTAAGAATGAAGACAACCATGTTGTTTATGTCTCTTTAACGAAGATTAACGTATAATAACTCAAAATGATTATATTTGATCACAATCGATTAGCTAACACAAAAATCTGACAGATATTTTCGAGTTTTCTATTGGTTCTAACTTTGTAGTTGGAATCTGAAATATTATAATATCAGTTAAAATTCTATTTCTTTGAAGACCATAGTAGAAGAATCTACGATAAATTTCCGGTCTCGATTAAAAAGAAACATTTTAGAAAATCATAAGAGTGTAAAGAAGAACACTTGTCGTAATGATTTTGACATTGAGATCGAGATCAATGAAAACTATTAAAAAATAAGTTTTGTGATACATATAATGAGATGGAAATGAAAAGTATCTATAAAATAAATAGAAAATTGTAATTCTATAAACATTGGCGCGTTTATTTTTCTGTAGATATTTGTTGATCTAATATTGATAAAATGTTTTATATAAATATGATATTAATAATTATATTTATTCCTGTATGTGTTTCTGATATACCATATCTACTTCGTTCATATCCTAGTGATTCCATTGTTACACAAACATCCTTTACTGATGGTCCATGTGTAGATTCAACTAAAACATTATCATTTCTTCAAGGAACAGACAATGCATCGTTGTATCACAGTGAATGTGTTCATAATTCAGACGATTCAAGTCTTATATGTAAATTAGGTCTTGGAAATGCTAGTTTATTACTTAATTTAGATAATTATCCACTTGATAATATTAATGTACTTATTCTATTTGTTCAAGAATTTTCCTCAGACAAACTCATACCTCGTGTACTTGATTTATGTTTTATAAATCGTTTTGGTAAATCATTACGAGAATTAGCTATATGTGGTTATCAACCGCCTCTTACTGGACTATCAAAACATAAGTATTTACATATACTTGATATACCAGCTTTAGCTATAGTTGCTTCAAATATACAAACATTACTTATAAGTGGTATTGATATTCATTTCAACTAAAAAAATCTTTTTTTTTTATTGTATTTTTTAATAGGTGTTAATTTATGGCAAAGTGTAGAATTGCGTCAATTTAGTTCTTTAAAACATTTACTCGTAATACAAGGTCGTAAGTTTTAGAATAGAAAAGATTATTTTTTAATTTAATTCCATATTAATTGTCTCGAAAAGGTACTATACAAATGAAATATTATCATTCTCCATTTTGTGCTGATTGTGAAGGTGCACATCCAACAGAAGAATTTTCATTTCATTATCTTATTCCCTTATCATCTCAATTAACTTATTTTCTTTATGATTCTCCTTTGGACTATAAATCATGCAAATATGATTTACTTAAAAAGATTCGATCAAGTTCAACAATTTCAACATTTATCATAGCTTCAAATACATTTTTTAATAATTTAAATGAGCCAATATGTCAAACATGTGCAAGTGGTTTATGCCCTTTATTATCTATATGTCTTGATGATAATAGTGTTGAAGAACGTCGAAATAAAAATAAACCATTTGAATGTTTATGTGTTGAAGAAATAAAAGTTGAAAATGAATTTCTATTATGTAATTCTATGTCATTACATCAACCAATGTATTCAACAAGATGTAATCATACTCCATCATTTTGGAAATATGTAACGCGATCAATGATTATTGTAACAATATATATTTTATGTTCAATGATTGTTTTTATTTGTTCAACTATTTTCCTTATGAAAACAAAATAAAGTTTTTTTCTATTTATTTAAAAAATATTTAATCAAAATAGTTGAATATAATGATAGGCATTTATTTGAATGAATTCTTCTTATAGTTTCCTGTCCTACTTGCCCCTTATATTGATTTGATTTATTTGTTAGTAGCAATAACTTGATAGATTGCTGCTTGCATGCCACTCAACATCTATACACTTTGATTATGACTTCCTTGTTTTGCCTGTTTGCCTACAAGCACCGCCAGAGATTTGTTTGCTCACCAAATTGGCTACTGCTAACAGTCATCTTATTTCAAAAAAAAAAAAAAGAATTCATTAGAATTCCGTTCCACTTATACCCTCAAGTGTGTTCTCCCTTCTTCATCATTTTCTCCTCCTTTTCTTTTCTTGTACACATTGCATGAGACTCGTTATGTCCAAGTATCGTCACAGCTTACGACCACTGCAAATTGGGCTCGTTTGATCAGAGCATGCGTGCGCGTCGTACAAGAGAAATCGAGTTGTACGTCTCATTTTCTCTTTCTCTCTGTTTCTATTTCTCTCTATCTTGTTGGTAGTAGCATTGAAAGAGAGTCAAAAAAAAAGAAGAAAAAAAAAAAGGAAAGAGAAAACGTATTTCCGGATGGTCGCGGCAGTCTTCTCATCTCTACCACGTACTACTCATCATCATCACCACTGCGGTTAGATGCCTTAGGGAAATGCTTTGTTAAGTTAAAAAAAGAAAAAGAAATCGAGAGAAAGGAGAGGAGAGAAAAGAAGACGAAGCAGAAAAAAAAATTAGCCGTGTGAATAGAATCATATCATTTTAAATAAAATAACGGCTAACATAAAAGATGTTTGCTGTTCCTGAGGTCGACGACGATATTGATAGTTCAACTCCGATAGAACCTAAACAGTCGACTACGTTGCCTGAAGCAACAAACAAATCTCTTTCATCATCGTCACCACCACTTCCTTCAGTTGAAAATGTAGAAAAAAATTTAAATAAAATGTCAGTTCCACCACCGTCAGTACCACCACCATCAGCACCAGTTACTGCCAAACAACATCGTTCACGTCGAAGTCTTTTTCATCGCAATACAATTCATATATGTGATCAAATTGTTGACCGAGTGTAAGATCTTTTTTTTCCACTGTTACTTTTTTTTTGTAATAATGATGTCTGATTTCATGATATATGCATGTGCGGGTCAGTGCACACACAAATAGACAAAGAATGAATAGGGACTAATAATAGATACCGACAGAGGCGTCATTGACGCCTGCTTGTGTTTTCTGAAGCGAGAGTGAATTAGATGGTTAGCTACTAGAAGTAGCCTTAGTATCATGGGAATACGGACTAAATGTCATATGTCACATTAAAAAAGGAAGAAAAAAAAAAATGTTTCGTCTAACTGTCACACATTATAATGAACCTTTTTTCATTTATATCTTTATACATATTATACATATGTACTTAGTGTGTCTGCTCTCTTCATCAATGATGAAAAAGGTAAACGTGTTGATAGAAACGACTATCGTTACTATTCTTCGCATGATACTTATAGAAAGAATGTCTCCATCTTTTCCTTTTCCTCTTCATTCGTTGATGGATGACCGGAAACAGTTGTTGCTAGTCCTGTGACATTCGATAAATCTTGTGCTTGAATGATGCTGTAATCACATACACATACTTATAGGCGTAACCTATATATGTAACACGCAAAGATGAAAAGAAGAAACGACATTGCTCAGAAATCTGAGAGAGAGAGGAAAAAGAGTTAGTGCAGGTACTATCTCTTAATACATACATATATACATATACAAATATATACAAGAACAGAAAATAAAGACTTTGATTGTCACTTCCTTATCCATGTTTCTTATAGATAACTTTATTGGTATATAACATCTGCTATTAATAGTCAAATAGAAAATGAATTTAGCCGATGGCAAAAAAAAATTCTACACCATAGAAGATTTTTAGTTGAAGGTGACATAAGAAATAAATATAAATATAAATATTTCTGGCAAGCGTACATATCTTAAGTATTGGAATGAATGACAAGCAATCGTGATTTGACTCAAGTAAACAGAAAAAAAACATAAGAACTATTCATTTGGAATGCAACAGAGGGAGATTACATCAGTATTATATGTATACATAACCGTTTGTTAGTCTGTACAAGCTAAATAGTTTCTATTCTTCTTATCTATTTCCCTGTTTATTAAATTCATCAAAAAAAAACAAATAGTCATCTATTTATTTTTTTTTTTTGTTATTCTTATATTTTCTTTTTTGAGTATTATATATAGAAGAAAAACGATCTAAGCTACTTTTTTCTTCTGATAATGTCTTTAAGATTGATTCACAGGTAAGCACCCGAAGTATTAATCTTTCTATTATTATTCCATATGTGTTTATATATATATAAAAAAAGAAAAAGTCGTGGGTGTTATAAGTCTGTCATACATTTGTAATGATTGTACCACTAGCGATAATCACTTATTTTTTTTTTATCATCATATAACAGAAATCTACCATGAAGAATCAGATCATAAATTACTAACATATATATCTTGACAAATTGAATTATATATTTAGAAACTAACGAAAGTTTATTACTATTTGAGACAGAAAAATATTTTCTTTATCAGATTGTCAAGATTTTTTCTTTTTTCTTTTTTTCTACTTCACTTAATGTCTTTTAGATGAGAAAATTGCACACCTATGTCTCTTCATTTTCTTTTATTATGACATATTATTAATAAGAAAAAAATGACACCATTTTCCGTTTTTATTTTATCATAAATAACCATCTTTTCTTTCTTTTTTTTTGCTTCTTCTTCTTCTTTTTCTCCTTGTATTCTAAGACCTTAGAATAACATTATTATTCTCTGTTCCTAGAATCTATTAAAAATAATATTGAAAAAAACCGATGGATCATAAACGCTTTTGCATATTCGCGTGATAATATTTGACAGCAGCTGTATGATAATGGACATAAAGCAAAATTACTAAATGAAAATAATATATTTTTTGCGGTTTTCCTATACAATATTTAATAGTAAATTATTAGATATTCTTATTTCAGAATCATATTTGTATCTTGTCTAATAAAATCTGACAGTATGCTGATTCCTTAGAGATTTTTTTTATGCAAAAAATTATATGTTCTTCTTCTATGAATAGAATGATTTATCTATCTATTCATGTAACCTTGATCAACATCATTCAAAAGTCGACAACCTTATATATGTATATACATAGCCTTGGCATTCCATTAGAGATGAAGAGTTGATCAACATAAGAGAAAAAAAAAGAACATCATACTATCGTCCTATTTATAATTCCTTATATTTGTATCATAACAGTCTATAAATCTTTAACATTATAATATTTTAATTAAATTAAATATATAAACAAAACAAAACGAATTCTTCCATTAGTGACAATTAGTTAATTGTTTTACTAAATAGTTGTAATCATTATTTTCTTATTAATCTTTACTGTCTTGTTAGAGTTAATGCATATCTTTCTTTTTTTCTCTTCTTTTTACGAAATAAATTCTATCTCTTCTCTATTTACACATATGTTATGGACAGATATATAATAGTTTCATAAGTGTAGTGATACAATCTCCGTTTTTTTTCTGCTTCCTATTCGCATGGGTGTTGTTGTTGTTGTTTTTGGAAGACGATTACTAACGAGAATTGATAGATACCGAACAGCTTCTTGCTATTATTGTGATGCATCATTTTTGTCGTTTTTTTTATCGGCAACTGCAATCAAATAAAAGAGAGAGAGAAAATCGAGTATCAGTAGTTGAATGCTTGATATTTATCGACCAGCTTCTAAAAGATGCAAACAAACAGGTAATAGAGAACAAATGATTGACATTATTTTCTAACTAAAAAAAGTTCGTGACAACATACTAATGTCATTCTACTGAATAATTAAATATATGTCTCTACCCATCTCACTAACAGTGTGACACCTTATTAAAGGTCGTTTTTAGTTGAGAAGCTTGGTGAAATAAATATGAATCGCGGTTGTTATTCTCGGTATGATTATTTAGTTTGAGAAGAACCAAACGTCAATGATAATCGTAAATATTCCTATCTCTTTTTCTTTTTTATTATGTTTTTGGATATGCGAAAGAGAAGAGAAAAGAAAAAGGATATAAATGCAGTTTGAATATCTCTTTTTTTT